TAAATGCTTTGACTTTGACTTTAATCCCTTGCCTGGCAGTCGCACTTGCGACCACTCGGCCAATGAGGCGGTCGCAGCAACCAAGTAAAATACTAAAGCATTAATATTAAAGAATATTAAATACGACTGTAAAGCGCCACTATGTATTAGGTTCAAACGATGCTGGATTACCAAAACAGTGTTATCAATTTTAAAACTTCCAATTTCTATTTTAATCCAATTATTAACAACGACATTAAGTCAAGACGAATCACAAACAAACATGAAATGTATGTAAAAAGCCTCAGACTAGTCATAGACTACCATAAGAGACTAACGTAATTGAAGAATTACTATAAGAAATTCACATAATTATATCGCTCCTATAATAGTATCGTGTTACTTTTTGTGTCTTTAAGCATGATTCCCATATAAAATAATGTATGTGTTTCTTTTTAAGCAATCTCTTGTTAATAGTCTGAGAAAATATAAAAGTTGAGGTGAGTGTACTGCTATTAAAGCCCTGTTTTGATTAGGTATCGAGATTCTATACTAATATTATTTTCTCTTCATCCTTACTTATATTATAAATCTGAAAGTGAGTTTGTTTGTTTGTTCCACTTTAACGCCGTAACTACTAAACCGATTGCTTTGAATTTTTGCAGATGTATAGTTAGAATAGTTATAATAAGATATATGTCACATTGGCTTTTATCCTTTTGTGACGCGAGCGAAACCGCGGGTAAAAGCTAGTTGAAAATAACAGAATGAATTTATAGGTGCAATGAGGCGGGGATAGAGTGCTATTGCACATCTCTGCATCACCCCATGGTTGACTGTTAGAGAATGCCACCCGGCATTAAGTCCGCCGTCGTATGTTTGTTATACAGAAGTGTTAATAAAATATAATAGATAGAGAATTTTTCTCAGCAGGTGCAAGCAAATAGTGGTGGTTAGGTGTATGTAGCCCCCATTGTACCTATAGGTAGCATTTTTTTAAATTTTATGATGACGCCACCATCTTGCCTGTTGGTTGTAAACATGACTTCTAAGATCCCAAAATTATGATGGATGCTTGAATCAGTTTTATCCATTCTCCATTTTTTCAATAGGTCTATTAACATCACAGGCAAGAAGCAGATAAAATACTGTATCTAAGTGCTTTTCTACCTGTAATTAGACAATAACTTTATTTACATTGCCTCACAACCATTATATACAAACACAGATATACCAGTCAGTTAAATATGACTGCCTCATTGGCCGAGTGGTCGCAAGTGCGACTGCCGGGCAAGGGGTCTCGGGTTCGATTCCCGGGTCGGGCAAAGTATTACTGGGCTTTTTCAAAAAATCTCAGTAGTAGCACGGAGTCTGGAATCGTGCCCGGTATATGGCAATAGACTCACCCCCTATTACATAGGATAAATAGTGAAAAGTGGGTGTTACATTGTACAGTGGCATTAAGTGCCGTAATGTACACCTCTGCCTACCCTTTCGGGAATAAAAGGCGTGATGTTATATTATGTTGTTAAATATGTACTAAACCTTATATGAAAGAAGCATACAAAATAGCAGAAACTGAAACATGTACAATATGACATAACTATTTCTCCACACGTATTTAAAATAAATCAAAGTTATTAGTAGAATTCATTTCCTCTTTTCAAATGAATGTTAGAATCTTGATATGAATGTTAAACTTAGGACGGAATGTACTGTGAGGAGAATCCCGATTCCCGCTATGTGAAATAATTCGGGAAAAGGGATTTTTAGTGAGATTCTCCCTTTGTATAATTTTGCAGACAATATTTTAATTTCAAGTGATTGCGAGTGCAAATTTCGAACAAGACGTAACGGATTCAATTCCTGAGATTGGGCAAAGTGTTAGTGGGTTTTTCAGTTTTTGATTTTTTTTAATTTACTCTCTCTCTTTTTTACATGGAACATTGTTATACCTAATTGTTAAAATATGGGTGTCAGATTGTTTATGCCTACCTCTACCTACCCCTTTGGAAACCAAAAGGCATGACGTATGTAATAATAATGAATTTGTAGATAATGCTGATAAAATCTAGCATTTCCAAATACACTACACTTATGCCTATTCGATAATCGAAAACAAAAACGTTAATACTTCTTCATTATATTTAATTAATATATATTGTGTGATATGTATAATTATGATGTTAATTTTAATGTTAATGTTAATTATATGTAATGTTAATGTTAATTATATGTAATGTTAATTATATGTAATGTTAATTATATGTAATGTTAATTATTGTGTTATTGTAATAAGTGTTAAACTTTTACACCTACTATTGTGTCTCTCTGCATTACCCTAAGGTTGACTGTTAGAGAATGCCACTAGGCATTAAGTCCGCCATTGTATATCTACAAGAAGTGGAAATAAAATAAAAAAAACCTAAAAAAAAACAGGTAAGTACTACAAAGTATTTCACATATATTCGGACACATAGACATACATTTTTGCCTGTGTGCTATATCTTTGTGCATCCAATAAACGGCTGTTAGGCCGGCTTAGAGCTCCCGACATGTGATATGAACGAACCAGTTATGAAACTTGGGCTTCAAAGTGTAGCCAGTCTAGTCTAGGTAGCAAAATATTTTGTATTCTGTGAAAAGGACCCGTTGAAAATCATCCCTTAAATTTGTTCATACAAAAGTAGTCTATATACATTGGAAATAAGGTCTATAATGTAGCTGGGAGAGCGGTCACGCGTGACCGCTTGGGGATAATATATTGGCTAAATTACAATTTTGAGGTCTAAGGGATTTAAATAAAAACTTTTTTCGGGCTGTCGTTAATTATAGGTGTTTTAAAGCGTTGCTACTTATTGTTTTTGATATTATATCCTTGTTTGATATAGAAAAATAATAATAACCATATTACGATAGAAATTGGGAGCAAAATTTGTGAAAATAGAGGTTTTCGTTCAACAATGAATGTTTCCCATATTGTTTATAATGATATCCAAAATTTGTAAAACAATATTTCACAACATTCCATTATCAATTTTTAAGAATTAATCATAACAACTGCACCAACTCTGGCTGCAGTCCATAGCGTGTATAAATCCAATCATAAAAATGGAAAACACAAATTTAAAACTCCATAAAAAACTGCACAACTTTATCCACAAACAAACGAAAGAGGTTTGCAGTTTCATTAACGAAAATAATTTCGCGAACCACAAACACAACTGGAGAACAAAGTTTAAAAAAAGTCGAACACTCAAGAGGTTTTTTCACATAATCCTTTCTACTCGAAAAAGGCACGTTTCCCTTATTATATAGGAGTGTACACGTATGTAATCTAACTGAAATATGACGCATTTCAGCCAACTTTCAGGCTGAAAGATTACGAACAAGGAAAACCACTTTGCTGCACAGCGGTTAGAAGGCGCAGTTTTTCTTTCTTTCCTCCTTTACATCGAGTATGTAAAATCCTGAATTGTGTTCAGGAAGTGCTATGAATTTGTGATTGTAATGCAATCTACAGAGACGCGTCAACTTAAAAGGTTTTTTTTTTAACCACACATTAGTAGCTTACCATAAATTATTATGTTTTCGACTTACTCACGTAATAATTTGACGAGAAACTCGACTAGTTTCAAGCCATGCTAGAGGCTTATATTCATGAGCAGCATTTCGTGATCCGCGATGCGGCGACTGTCGCGCTGCTACTGATTTTCCATGATAATTTTAATCGTATTTTTATATCATGTTTTCTTTTGCTTACTGTTAAATATCTAGCCTAGTGAATATTGTAATTTATTTATTTATTTAATTACATAGGTTCTCCAACAAAACATGTGCACAATACATACTATGAAAATAATACAATTTTTTAGGTTAGGTTAATACACTCTTTTTTATGGCATAAGCCGGTAAACGAGCATACGTATCACCTGATGGTAAGCAATCGGCGTCGCCCATGGACACCTGGAACACCAGAGCCGTTACAAGTGCGTTACCGGCTTTTTGGGGATTAAGAGTTTGAGGATCGTTGGGGATTCAGGGATTGGGGAGATTGGGGAAGGGGAGGGTAACTGGGCCTCCGGTAACCTCACACACACGACGAAACACAACGCAAGCGTTACTTCACGTCGGTTTTCTGTGAGGCCGTGGTATCACTCCGGTCGAACCGGCCCATTCGTGCCGAAGCATGGCTCTCCCACACTTAAAACATCATATCCGTAACGAAATACGTGTCTGCAGTCTCGCTATTTACCAAATAACTCAACAATGTCTTAGTAAAACGTCTCAGACAGTTACTTAGTCTTCAGAACTTAAGCCCTAAATCCAGTGACAGATGATCCTTAGATCAACTACCTAGCATGACAGCAACTCCAAAACATTACGCCAGTTGTCAGTAATTGAGATGAAAACTTTTATAACAACACAATTTGTCGTGTTTATTCCATCTGTCAAGATCTTACAGGGATCCAAAGTTTGTCAAAGTTATCTCTCATAGTCATGTCTGCAACTTGTCTAACTTTCTGAAATGTTCTTCATATTTTTCTCTTAAGTTTTTTATCTTAAATCTTCTGATATAAATGTAGGGCTAAGTAACTTGAGTTTTAGTAGAAAACTTCTTTTAGACATTACTGTTTTTTGAGTTGGAATTTTATTTTGAATCCACTTTTTAGTTATTTATATTAAGTAAGGCTAAATCTTATCCCTCGTTCTTAAGTGAGTAAGAATACGCAAATGACAAATATTGAGTGACACTACAAATTACATAAAAAAATTAGCTAATAATAATGAACAAAAAAACCACGTAACTGTAACGAAACACCCACTATATTTTCAATAATTTAATGACATTTTTAAACGACGTAGCGGAACAAAGGTTAAGAAGATAAAACAATAACTAAAACCTATGTATACTTATATACAAATGAATAAATCTACAAAAAATGTAAGCACACCACACCACATCCGTAGTCACGGTCAATCAAGGGGTATGTTGGACCGTGTAACTTACTTGAAACCGGTTAGAAATCCAGATTGATTCCAATTCCGAATCGAACCCGCCTTTGTTTATCTATCAGGGTACTTCCGACGAGACGTAACACGCGGATCTCATTTTGCGGCTCATAAAATAGAATATCTCTTTGAAAAGTGAAGCCCCCGCAGCGTTGCGAGTCAACAAATATTTTCAATTCAGAACCGTTGTGGTAATTTTTGTGCATTGCCAAACTGACCGTGGTCTGCCCGCCTCGGCAACCCTCGGTTATTATCGTCGCTACTCGTAAATCTGGTGAGAACTGTTTGTAAAGACACACTTGAAAGCCAATTTTGCTTGCTGTTAAAGATAATGTGAAGCTGGGCCTGTCATACCTAGCACTGATCGAGACCTCCGGCAACGGTGGGTACGTTAACGGCTTGAATCCAATCTCGGTTCCAAAACACACATCCGGAAGAATTTTGTACATCCACTGCGTCACCATACGTAATGTGTTCGGGTCCACATCTCTTACAGAACACGAAACTGATCCAACAGACTTTTCATTTTCTTTCTCAACCACAACCTCTGTTTCTGACGACACCAAATCCCTGATTCTAGACATCAGACGCATCTGATACCCTCCGTCAAAGCTATCTTTATACGTAGCCGTAGCAGAACCAGACGAGTCTATCAGCAACCCTTCCTCGGTGCTCTTCGGTTCCATTTCCTTGTGAATGAGCTGGGAATAACACCTGTAGGATTCCCTTGTCTTCCCATAGCTGTACTGTTGAACCAGTTTCACTTTATCGAGGATCTCTCTGAGAACAATGAGGCGAGCGCCGATGAAGCACTTTGGGAAAGTACCTTTCGCCTCAGCGTGAATGTCACACAGCTTTGTGGTTCTGTATCGCTTTGGTTCGACCACAATGATCTCCTTCTTCTTTGGCAGTAATCGCTGCAGGGAGGAGACGAAGCTGCTGACTTCCTCCTTGATCTTGTCCTCGTTTATGTCCATTGTAGTTTAATTTATATATTTTATTTTATTTATTGGATAACAGGTCAGACGTCATTGACCTGTCTGGTTTTATTTTTGTATCACTGAGCGTTGACGACGTGTCCGGCCAGTCGCACGCTGCAAGGAGTTTGTAGTATTTTTAGTTGTCTTTGAGATTATATTTGACACTTCCCTTAGTGCGCATGTGTTTACCTAGTACTGTTCGGATACTGCGCCCAGATTGCTAATATTACTGGCTATATTATTGGCAACTTTACTGAAATAATAACAGACTCTAAAATTGAGTAACAGTATAACCATAATTTTTTTAAATAAAACTAAGTAAACCTGTTTTTAATTTGACAATAGGCCACCTTAAAACGCACAAAAGAGGAACAATACTTCCTCTATAACATCAAAATACCACAAAACAATACACAAAATATTTAACACCCAATTTAAGACTTAATTTAAAAGGCGGCATCAGTTCGTGTCTCGAAGCGTTTAATAAAGAGGCCGTCAATCCGCCGACTGTCCATTCATGGGCCATTCATTCCCATTCATTGATGACATAGATATTTATGCGACCATGACTCTTGTAACAATACAGTCTACGATTATTATTGATGGGTATGTTTCAAGGGTGTTTATATTAGGACTTATGGTTTACTAAAATGTTATTGATACATGACAAATTGTATATTTAGATTTTAGTTCATATTGATTGTAGTTATAACAAAAGAGGTTTTGTGTTGGAAATTTTTACAGTTACCTGCCTACACGTTTTTTAACCACTAAATAAATAAATAAATAAATATTGTATTGAGTAGGTACGTACTATTTTTTATAGAATAGGTCACCTAATGGTAAGCAATCGCTGCCGCCCATGGACACCCGAAACATCAGAGGTGTTACAAGTGCGTTACCGGCCTTTTGGGGATTAGAAATTTGAGGATTGTTAGGGAATTGGGGATTGGCGAGATTGAGGAGAGGGTAACTGGGCCTTTTTATCGTTATCTTGATCATCAAGCGCGTCTTTGAAGCGTTTGATAATGAAGCGACTGGATCTTACCCTTGGAACGCGTCAAATAATTTCAGATTACTTTCATTCATATTATTGGATATTGAAGGATTTTCAATAAATGGCGATGGCTATGCTTTTGTTTATGGCTATGTTCATAAAAAACTACAAAAATGATTAAGGTATGTCACAGCATCATGAGCCGAAAGACGTCCACTGTTTTAAATATATGTTTAATCCTTTTCATTTACCCAATTTGTTACATTGTTATTGCCGTAATGTGCACCTTTGCCTACACCTTCGGGGATAAAAGGCGTGATGTTATGTAATTTACCCAATATAGATAAACAAAATGATGTATTATCTCTCGTTGCCAGCTGAGCATCGAATCTTTTAACTTTAACATTTAAACCCTTTTAGTAAATTGGTATAAATGTGACAGACAGTCGAATGGACCGATATAGGTTCAACCCCAATTTGTTTGATGAAGTAAAAGCTTTTGTGCGATTGTTTGTTTTTGGAAATTGTACCTTAGGATCTAAAGGTTAAGTGATTGTAGACGTGTCTTAGGTCGACCTAGACGTTTAGGACTTCAATCTTATCTGTGACCTTTTCGTACTGATAAACAAAATATGCAAAACCATTATTTTGTGGTATCATTTCTAAATAGAAGGATTTTGTGCTGAAATCAATATACTATAGGAATATAATATACTACAGTAAACGAGCAGACGGATCACGTGATGGTAAGCAATCGGCGACGCTCATGGCCACCCGGAACACCCGGAAAAACAGCATTTCAATTTTTTTTAAATTAGCTTGCCTCACACGATAACCGAACCAACTAACTTTTTTTAACATTTTATTTGTGTTTCACATTCATATAGTGCACAAAATATATATAATATATAAGTAGGTAAAAATATATAATAGATAGGTACAGGTAAAACGTAATTCTGTAATTTATCCTATGTTTGTATAGTTTGTAGCTTCAAGTTTGCCCCATTGTGTTTGTACCGTGTGCGGCAAGCAAATTTAAAAAATCATTGAATGCAGATTTCCTTCTGTTCAAAAATAAAGGAATATTTTGTTTGAGTAAAATTTTCTATCTTAAGTATTAAGAGTAACTCCCCCTTCAGGTAGCATTACAAAATTCCTTCCTATCTAATGCCGAAATCTTAAGCCCAATTATTTCACAATCGCAGTTAAATCTATTCTAACGAAAGGTTATTGTAACAGTTTGTTTTTAACCGAACCCAAGTAAAATAAACGATGGTAGCGGATACCATAAATATAAGGCGTGAATTCCTCGGCGTGTTCCCGGTTCGATACCCGAGTAGGTCAATATTTATTGCTTGCCGTGTGCCGTTTCATTCTCACTTCTATTTATTAGTGAGTGCTGAAAAGTTCGTGTTTTCAGTGGTATTTGTTTCTTTTCATTAACGGAAATGTGGAAATTGGAGTTCGTTTTTTAGATAGATGTGTCTAGGAAGAGCTAGGCAGATGTGCACGTCTTATCTTATACTTACCATTATATAATTTTTTTTTTTTTTATTTCTGCAAATAGGCTACAAGGCAGCACTTTTACACTGTCAATTTTATCAAGCGAACGATGAGGTCGACATTTCCTAACTGACTACTCTGAGAAGAAATGCCGAAACAAACTCAGAGGTCTGTCTCTTTTTTTGTATTAAGCTAAATACGTCTTAACTTCCGTTCTATACTTAGGCGTCATAACTTCGGTTCCCGTTTTGGGTAAATTATCATTGCGTGCGTTTTTATGGAATCGTCAATAGATGTATTATAAAATATATAATGGTAAGCAATTAATGTCGCTCACGGACAAATTGGTGTACCTATTTTCAAAATTTTCACTGTCAGAACTTTAATATCATATTAGACAAAACGACATTAAGAAACTTTTGACGGAATAGTCAAACGCTACTCAATTTTAAGTCATGCTTAAGTATAGTTCTATCTCTACAAATTCTTTGTAAAATGACAGAGATGGCACGATATTTAAGCACGACTTAAAATTGAGTAACGTTTCAGTATTCCGGCATTTATATAACTCCGTTTATTAATATGTTTTATATTTATTTTTTGACTGCACGGTTGGTGCGGTGGCTATGCAACCGGCTGCCGTGCAACGTGTCGCGCGTTCGATTCCCGCACGGAACAACACTTTGTGTGATCCACAAATTGTTGTTTCGGGTCTGGGTGTCATTGTGTATGTGAACTTGTATGTTTGTAAACGCACCCACGACACAGGAGAAAATCCTAATGTGGGGCAACGTTTTTAAAAGACAATAAAATATGCTAAATCCTTCTCCTAAGTGCGACAAACACTTTACTGAAAAACACATCAAAATCGGCTAAGCTAATCGTGAAATAATCGCGCACATATACATATGTACATACATGTATGTACATACATACATACATTCCGAAAACCTCCTTTGGTGAAGTCGTTTAACAAAACTCCCTCAAAGTTATCCAAAACACATAATCTAAACTTCAGATATAACGAATGTTTATAAATGATGACTAGCATACCCTTCCGGGTTCGACACCCGGGTCAAACATTGTTTACAGGTTCAGATCGCTTCAGTTGCTATACGTATAACATTAAACAGATGTGTTAGATGGTTACCCGACTATGTGTAAAATGTGTAATGAGTTTTAAAACAGTTTAGCTGTAAATTGATGCTAAAAATGGTATGGCATGACTATCTTACTAATACACGTCAATTATACACTGAAACAAAAATATTTAACTGGCAACAGACCTACACTTACAATGTGTGCTTGCTGGTGAGAAAAATACTAACGGGTCAAATACAATCTGAGATCAAGTTTAATTTGAGATCATTTTATCATTCCTTGAGAAATGCAAACAAGATTAAACTACAAAGGCACAAAACAAATTACGGTAAAAGATGTATAACATATGAGGGAGCACAATTGTATAATAATTTGCCAAATAATATTAAGGAATGTCAGTCGATTGCCATGTTTAAAAATAGGTTAAGAAAATATGTATCTGAAAATATTTATTAATACCGTTTGATCATAACTCTGTATACCTAGCTATAATTACTCATTTAAGCTCATTGTAAGTGAACCATGTTCCTTATGAGTGAATAAACAATCATTAAACTTAAAATGATTCTTTTAAAGCTTAAGTTACGAAATGTTTCTGATATGATTCTCAAGTAGCCCCGCGGAGCGAATTCTAGAGTGATCACGTACATGATACTAGCCCTGTTTCAGCAGGGTCGCCATATTGATTGAAACATCACAAAGTATAATGCATAAGTAATGTAGTAATGAGAAACACAATACCAGTAACAATTCGGTACCTAGCAGTGGTGGTCTAGCTGAAAATCTACTAAGTTAAATCAAAGTCAAAGTCAAAATCATTTATTTCAATGGGGATGATGACAGGGTATGAAAATTAAAAATATAATTAGTCCGTAAGTTAGGTAATGAAAAAATATTAGACACGTATTTTTTTATTTTGTCGTATAATAAAACAATACTTAGATAAAACGAATCAAAGTTTAGGAGTGGGGGCTAAAACGTCATTCCTTAGTATAAAATGTACTGAGAAGTGACGTCACGCGACATTTCAAATCAATATATCTTCGAAACTATTCGTTTCTGTGAGAAAATAAAAAATACGTGTCTAATGTTTTTAAATAATCTATCAGAAATAAAAATTAGTCGTCTACCCTATAGGGTAGACGACTAATTTTTATTTTAATGTCCGTCAACAACCAAAATTTTGAAGTGAAGCTATTTTCTCATTCCAAGGTGTGGATTCCTATGTAGAAGAACGAGCAAGAAACTCCATAGATTACTCTTTTTTTCAATCGGGTTCACAATACAATTCTCTAGTTACATAGTTTTGTTGGTTCGATTGTGTGAGAACAATGCAACACCTAAATGCAGTCAAAGAGATTGAATAAGAAAATAACCTTGAGGACTATAAAATCAT